GAATGAGTTATGTAATCCAATACCATTTACATACATTTAAAATATACTCAAAGCAATTTTATAAGAACACGTTTTTTAAAAAGACAACAAAAGGATACAAATTTAACACATCAGAATGGTTGCAAATAGAAGGTGGCAGAAAAGATGGGGGTAAAAGGAAATAAATACAGAGAGGGACCTTGTTGGAGATTGACATGGGTGATATGCGATAAACTGAGCAGTATGATTAATTCAGACCTCTCATCTGACACCCATCCATCTATCCATGTTGGACATGCATGGTAATGGTTTGTTCTAACAGGATGCTTAGTGCCCTGCCTCCTTCCCCACAGTCAGGTCCTAAAGAAAGAAGAAGGTGAACCTCTTCTTTTAGGAGTCTGCTTGTCTCAATGAAGCAAGAACTTGAGCTGTTTCTAAGCAGTGGAACAGAGAAAAGCCCCTACTTTGGGGAGAGGGAAGTGTGGCGCACATAAGGGTAGAGAGCAGTGGATACTGATCATTAGGCTTTCCGTTCCAACTGATAACTATGTGGATTTGCGTGACCCACCATCCATTGTCCCAGAACCCATGGTTTGCCAATGTTCCTTAATATTCATAACCTCAAAAACTAAAGCTTGTGTTAGACTCCCGGAGTTTTCCTAAAATGCCCCAGAGAGCCACTCAGCCTGGATGTGGGATAGCAGGGACTGGAGCAAAGGCAATAAAGAAAACTCATTACCCATCTCTGGGTACCTCTGCAAATGATTGTCTTCACTTAACCTCAAGGTCAAGACAACCTATTTTATAGTGTTCACTGTCTCTGAGGACAAGCTTTAGTGAGCGCCTTGTTTGCTTCTTACAGGATTAAAAGAGACAATGAAACCTGCCTCTCAGAAGATCATTTCACCAAGTCCCTGTTGCTCTGCGGGGAATATTTGTTTCCTCATTTATATTCATGTCTCTAAAAGACAAGTAGACCTTGGATGAAATTTCAGGCGACAGTAAATTATAAATAATGTATCCATATTTTTTCTCTTCCATACTTCTTGTATTTAATTCCCCCCAGAGTCTTGCGCAAACACCAGAGACAAGAGGACAGGAAGCTATTATCATGATGGAAAGAATGAAATGGGCTTATGCTATATGGCAGTTACGCAACAAGGGAAGACATCTTGATCAAAGGAGGTTTCTGAGGTTTTGTGGGAGCCAGTTCTTCTCTTTTCTCTCTCTCCCTTTTCTATTATTTTTTTATTAACATCCCAACTCTTTTCCAGACCATTAAGTAGACGTCTGCTTGAAATGAGTCTCTTTTCTTGGCCCATCCAGGACAAGATGAGGGTTTGTCAGTGGATGGTGGCCACTTTGGGGCCCAACATTAAACTCTTTTGTTCCATAAGACAAAGCATAAAAAATACTTAGAGAGATCAGCAGAGATCAGCCTGTCCTAAGAACAGGACGCTGCTAGGTGGAAAGCTCAGGCAGCCTCAATGAAGTCGGGAAGGATGCCAGTTACTAGAATGAAATTAGCCTCTAAATCCATCAGCCCTGGTTTTTCATCAGTTAGGATGCCCTGGTGTTCCTCAGACATCTTGCTCGGCAGGGGTAATTCATGGAGGGGTGTGTGTGTGTGTGTGTGTGTGTGTGTGTGTGTGTGTGTGTGTGTGTGTGTGTGTGTGTGTGTGTTGTGTGTGTATAGAAGAGCAGGGAGAAGATAAGCTGGGATGCGCGGAGCGCGAGGGTAGGCTCAACGAAGGGTGGAATAAGGCCCCTGGCACTGTTGCTGTAACCACTCTTCCCAAAGGAAGTCAGATCTCGCGGGATCTTAGATCTTGGGAGGTCTACGGTGGCCTGCAGGGGTGTCCTCGGATGAGAAATTCCTGGGTGCCCCAAGGCGCCAGAGGTCCCTCCTCCCAGACTCCACCTTAAGGAGTCTGCTCACGCCACCTATCAAGCAAACTCCAATCTTTCTCTTCTTGATAACATCCTGATCCCCGAACTTAGGAAGCTGGTACCTTTGTATCCTCTTCCTCTTTAATAAAATTTGCTTTTGGCGGGGGATTTGGAAAGTGGGGCTAGAAAGATGGGGACAGGGGCGTGCGACAGGCAATGAGGACTTATTAATATTGGCATGCAAATAACTGTAGGCTTAGTGTAATGTATTCAGGGAAATTTGCATTTAGGGTAGCAGAAAAAGCCTGAAATTAGAGGGACTTTGGGCATCATACTCTGTAGGCAGTACCTCTTTGCTGTGCCATCCCTGTGAGGGATATTGAGAATCCTTTCTTACAGCTTTGTTTCACCAGAAACCCCTCTTCTGCGCTCGCAGCTGGGATTTAACTATTCATTTTAACCAACATTGATTATGTCTGCTATGTGCCAGGCATTGTGCAAGGCACTTTCACATGCATTACTTCTGTCCACAAACGTTTCTTTCTGCAACCACTTGTTTCAGTGGGTTCTGATAAATCTCCAAGATAAAGCCAGCAGGGTTTGGTATGCGTCGGTGACTTAAATTTAAATTTGAGTTTTCCAGTAAAACTCTGCAAAAGCTTCCAAACATGGATACATCCTTTCCATGTACCACTGTAATAGTGGCAAGTCCTTCTCTGGTACCCCACACTCTTGGTCAGTAACTACACTGTACGGAAACGTGGGCTCTTCAGTTTTCTCCTTTCTGAGTTGGTATTGGTCCAGGAGCCCAGTGTCAACTAGAGTCTTGTAAAAACAAACAAACACCTAAATACATCCTGATAGGCCCCCTCTACTGTCCACCAAACATAGCCACTACCCTGGCCTCCTCTACAGATTTCCAGAAATTGTTAAACCTCTGCTTATTGGATCTTGCTGAGCCCCCAGCTAGATTTGGGATCCCAAGTCCAAACTATTGCATATCCCCTGGGGCAGCTCCATCTAAGAGAAGCCAGGGTCTCTTACAGCTCAGGTGGATCTGGAGCAAGACACTGCAGAAACCTCAGGTGTATTGTCACACTGCACAACCAGTAGCGTGGCGTTACGAGGATGGGGATTGAAAGCTCATACTACACTGAGCAAGCATTGAAACCCATGCATTTTGGGGATGAAATGATTAGTTTAGACCTAATAAATATGCAAATTGGGAGCTCTGTTTATGTTTCTGTCTTCTGTGTCCTTTTCTTTTTTTTTTTTTTGTGAGGAGATCAGCCCTGTGCTAACATCCGCCAATCCTCCTCTTTTTTTGCTGAGGAAGACGGCCCTGGGCTAACATCTGTGCCCATCTTCCTCCACTTTATATGGGACGCCGCCACAGCATGGCTTGCCAAGCAATGCATCGGTGCGCGCCGGGGATCCGAACCAGCGAACCCCGGGCCGCCGCAGCGGAGCGCGCGCACTTAACCGCTTGCGCCACCGGGCCGGCCCTTCTGTGTCCTTTTCATGGGAAAGAAATTCCTCATTCAGTAAAAACTCTAATACCTGGGTCTTTGGGTGGTAGCTTGGAAAAGAGGACCATGGAGGAACCTTTTATTAACCTGCGAATGTGCAGGGCAGGGCTGGAACAAGAAGAGGGCAGCACCTTGGTTGAGATAAGACCTCTTTGAAAGGGCAGGAAGGGTGAGCGTAATTGACTTCAGTCCCATAAAAGAGATGAGGTGTCCTCCAAGTTCCACTTGGTAGGGACACGTCTTGAATTCTTGTCTTGGTTGTGACACTAAGGTTTATTTTTAATTTTTTTAATTAAAAAAAGTCATTTTTGTGATTATTGTGCTCATTGTAGACACTTTTTAAGATATTGAAAAGTATAAAGAGAAGGAAAAAGGGGACTCATTCACAATCTCACTACCCTAAAGAACCCCTGGTGAAAGAATTTGATGCATTTGATCCAGTGTCCTGCTTATCATTTAGAACAAGTCTAGTGGCAGAGGCACCTGGGTAGGGATGGGGGACTTTCTGTCACCTCTGTCTGGTGATGGGCCATGGGCAGGAATCCAGTCATCCTGGTGCTCTGAGGTGGCAGGCAGGCATGTGTCTAGGGATAAGGGACATGCTCCTACTTGCCCTACATATGTGCACAGCCACACCCCCAGAACGTGGGGCAGGGAGGGAATTCAAAGTCTGCACGGAGCAGTCCGACATTACAGACTGTAGAGAGGCAGAAAGGATTGTTCACAGCACAGACCCCAGCGCCAGAACAACTGGGGTCAAATCCTGGCTCTCCTATTTAAGAGCTCTGGGCTCTTGGGTGGGTTATCTCACTTCTCTGTGGCCCAATTTCCTCATCTGTAAATAGGGATAATAGAACATACCTTATAGGCTGTCATGAGGATTAAATTCAATAATGCATGTAATGCAGTTAGAACAGTGCTGGTCAAATAGCCCTCAAAGTTTAGATATTAGTTTATTTCCTGTTATACACATCAGGACACTCATCCCTTAAGGACATTTTCAAGTATCTTCTGCCGATACTTAAATGAGGGAAGGCAGGAGGAGCAGCTGGATTTAGAAGCAGAAGAGCTTGGTTCAAGTTCTGACCCAGCCACTTACTAGCCATGGAAGTCATTTGATTTCCATGCACCTCAGTTTCATCATCTGTGACAGGGGGATAATAAGGCCCTCCTCACGAGTTGTGATAAGGACTGAGTTGAGACCAAAGGAATGCAAAAGTGCTTTGTGTGTGGAGAAGAACCATAGATTTAATATTGAGGGTTTACTATTGCTATTTTTACTAGGTGAAGCTCTGGTTACAGGCAGCACAGGAAGGAGGGAGGGAAGGTCGAACTTTGCTGGAAAAACACTTGCAGAAAATCTCAACAGGAACCTGATGTCTTTATTTGGTGCATTTATTTGGTCCAGGTGGACCAGGGATTTGCGCTGCTGGTTCCTATGGTGGCCTTGGTAGTGGAAGAAAAAATTATCTTCCTTCGCAGGAAGAGGCAATTGAGTTTCTTTGATAGGATCCTCCCTGGCCAAGTCTCAGCAGAGGCTGCTGAGGAGACAAACATCATGCAGGGGAGAAGAAGGGATGAGAGGGGCGGTAAGTCTCTCACCTGTGGTGAAGGCCGTGGAGGTGATGCTGCTCCGCGCTGTGTCCTGGGCCGCCTGCAGGAGCACTGTGTAGTCTGTGCTTTCTGATAGGCCCTCCAGTCGGATCCATGTGTCTTCTGCATCCACAATCAGCTCCTGCGGAATGAGCCGGAGGGAGGGATATGGAACGGAGCGACTGGCTCACAATAGAGGGAGTGGGGAAGGGAAGTCCAGGTCCCATGGCCGGCTAGGTCAGTACTGCAGTGGCCATCTTCATCCTCTCCATCCCACAATAAGAAGAACCGAGCCAATAAGCAGAGAGGACAGCTCCTCTGTGAGATTTAGGCCAGCTGCTATCTCACAAATGCACATTGGGATAAACATGGGCACCTGGACTGTCGAATCTAGAGGCTTTCGGATTGCACTGGGCCTCCTTGAGAAGTGAGGAAGCAGAATCCTAGGCCTTCTTATTCCATATCCAGCAGACTAGTTCTGCTGAAATCTATTCTGAATATGATTTCACTTTAAAAAAGAATTCCACTGCCAACAAAAATTTGACAACCAGTGCTCTAGATGGACTGTTTCAACTGATCACATGAAACAGAAATTTGTCATCTCTTTACTGAGGGCTATATAGATGCAGCCTTTATAATGCATATCAAGAGGCATAAAAGGCTGTGGAATTTGGTGTCCAGCTCATGTTTGCTTGGCCCTGTTAGCGAAAAATCGTTCCAATATCCTGTACTTATATAGCCTTGGAAGTTTCCAAGGTGCTTTGCATCATCATATTGGAAGTACCACCACGATCAAGTGAGTTGCAGTAGATACCCCCATTATCTAGAGAAGAAACTAAGGCTCACAGAGGTTTAGTGTTTTGCCTCAACTTGTGTAGAGAGGAATAGTGGAGCCAGGATTAGCACCCTATTCTGTGGCTTGTAGACCCTTTCCTCAACAGCTGCTATGTATCCATAATGGGAAACCCAGTTTGTTCCCTGTGGATTGCTTGATAGAAATGGTCTTTCCCCTTTACAGAAAAATCTCACCTTGCGGCTTCCATCCGTGGATCTGTAGGTCAAGACGTAGTTCTCGATCTCTGCTCTGGGTGGCTGCCAGGAGACCAGGGCACTTTGTCTGGTGACTTCACTGGCTGTTAGGTTTGCAGGAGGGTCCAGGACTGCAAAGAGGAGGAAATGCCAGAGTGCCTGCCCCTCCAGCTCATCCCTGTTTGATTCCAGGCATGTGTACCTGTTTGCCCACCTATGTGGTCTCTGGGCTGCTCACACACTCACATGCTGACCCCAGCTCTAGCTTGGACAGGAGCATAGAGGGCGCTCCTGGGTCAGAAAATAATCACTCGGCATCATGATCATTCTTGTAGCTATTTCTCTCTTCCCTCTTCTGGGCCTCTGGGCCTCCGTGTGACATCTTCCAATCTGACCCTCTGGGTCTGAAATCATGACCTTGTTAAATCTGTAGATCTGTGAGTTCACTTTTGAACTTATAACATTCCCACATCTATACCTTTGTCTAGTGCTCTCCTGGCCATGATGGCACCCAGCAACTCTCTCCCCAATATCAATCCCTTTAATATCCATCAGACTTTGCTGGGCCAGATGCATTTCCAGTCCTGGCCTCTCTTGGCCTGATTCTACTGCTGTCAGTCAGACCCAAGATGAGAGCAGAAAACAGACAAGTGTCTGCTGACCAAGAGCTGCAGCTCACTTCCACTGGCATTTGGGCTGTGGTCAACTAAAACAAGAATAGCTCATAGCTGCATTGTCCAAAGCCTATAGACTATAATCTAGTCTGCCACATGGAAACTGATCATTTGCAGGATCCACAAAAGCCTCCAGGGATACTGGATATGTAGCTGACCATGTACTCACGGGTAGAGAAGTTGGTGCTGATGGTGCCACTGGTGAGAGGCCCACTGGTGGCATACAAAGTGACAGTATAGTGGGTACTGGGAAGCAGGTCAACCAGCTGGAACTCCTCACTCCCTCCATCAACCAGGATGGTCTCTCCAGCAACTGAAATCAGATGAACATGGATAAAAATTGAATAAGGTTATTCAACTTAGGAAAGACTTATCAAATCCAAAGTCATTTCCTGAGATTCAGTATTAGAGAATTTTGGAAAAAATCTTTTAGAGGTTATTTAATAGCTTAGCATTTTATTCCATACAAGGATCCCCTCTCATATAGTTTTGCATCTTAATTGAGAAAAATATTCTTTGTTTGGAGGCCCAATCGTCTTTCTATAACTTCTACTCAGACCTCTGGAGTTACAAAGAATAAGCCGAATCTTTTGTCTACATGACACCTTCCTTCCCACCACCATTCCTAATCAAGTCCTCTCTCCTCCAGACTGAGAAAATTCAGCCCCCAACCCCCATTACATGTATGTGACAATTCTAAAACCATCACAATCCTGGCTACCTTTCTCTAGACAAGTAATAGTTTACCAGTGTTCCTGCTGAAATGCAAAACTCAGCAGAATTGAGAACAATAATTGAGAAGCACCGCTCAATGAAACAAACAGGGTCAACTTCTGCTTCTAGTTGTGCCACTTATATTAATCCATTAGGTTTTGAGACAGTCATGTGATATGGTGTCACATGCAAGATTATTACTAACCAAAGATTTTGTTTATAACCACCCAACCCAACCTTATGTAGTTGAGTTTTTGCACCCATGGGCAGAGCTTTCCATTTATTTCTATTGCATTTTGCCTTGTTGATTGAGTTTTGGGCCATTGTTTCAGTTTATTAAAATTTATTTGAATTTAGACTTTATTGATCACAGTTTTGTTTTATACACATATTTGGTGAGTGTGTCTTCTCTGTATTCATTCAAGCTGTTGATAAAACTGTTCATTAGATCAGGGCCAAGCCCTCTTTGTGCCTTTAGAATATTCCTGAGTCATTCAGCATTTAACAAAGTTTACTAGGCACTTCTCCAAACTAGGTAGGGCCTGAGGTGTCAAGTTTCTTTTGGTCTAAAGGCATAGAAAGGCTCGCGAACAAGTTCAAATCCAAAAGAACTCTTTGGAAGAGCAAACATAATGACTCTATCTTTTCAATATCCACCTTTGAAACACCCTGCCATCAGTCCATGCTCCAGCCATGTGAAACTATAGGAGTTCCTCAAACGCCTCATGCTCTCTCATACCTCTGTAAATGCTTACAGGCTGCTCTGTTTCTTTCCGCTCTCATTCTCGTTCTTTAATTTTATCTAAGATCCACCTTCTTTCTTCTCTTCAACACCCTGACCCCAAGTCATAGTGGCCCATCAGTGGTGTGCAAGGTGTTTTGTGCTTGCCTATATCATGACACTGCCCCCATAGAGTTGTAACTATTTACTCGTCTGCATTGTCACTAGATGTGGGTTCTGTGAAGACAAGAGCTCATGTTTTGTCTCCGAATCCTTATAGCCTTAGAGAGTATGTGGCACATGGGAGGCCATCAAAATTATTTGTTGAATGAATGAAAGTTAATTGCTATGATAGAGCTGTGTACTTTTGTACCTGTGAGCAGGTGCATCTGACTGCTTTAGCGGAAAAAAGGAAGCTTTGATAGAGGAGATAGATAGTGTCGAAAATAAGATTTGAAGGATAGGTTTTCTAGGCAGACAAGTAGGGAGAGAATTTCCTGGTGGAGGAAACAGCATGTGCAAATGCATGGTGACTTGAGAAGGCATGGTGAGAGTTAAGAAATTCAGGATCATGATATGCATGGAGGGATGGGAGGAGTTGAGATGGATTGTGCATGCACACAGAGGGTTTGGGATGTATCCACAGTAATGATATTCATTCTTTGAGGAGGGACGTTTAGTCAGCTACAGTTCTGTGTAATTCCAAATATGACCCTCATGGGGGCCAGCCCCGTGGCTTAGCGGTTAAGTGCGTGCGCTCCGCCACTGGCGGCCCGGGTTCGGATCCCGGGCACGCACTGACGCACCACTTCTCCGGCCATGCTGAGGTGGCATCCCACATAGGCAACTAGAAGGATGTACAACTACAACATGCAACTATCTACTGGGACTTTGGGGGAAAAAAGGAGGAGGATTGGCAATAGATGTTAGCTCAGAGCTGGTCTTCCTCAGCAAAAAGAGGAGGATTGGCATGGATGTTAGCTCAGGGCTGATCTTCCTCACAAAAAAAACCCAAAAAACAAATATGACCCATCATGTATTTTTCCATCTGAGTGATTAGTGGGTTTTTCTAATGCCTTGCTGAAATACAAGTGTGCTAGCAGATTTGTCAACAAAAAACAAGGACATAAAGTGGTTTTGGTAAAACATTCTTAGTGAACCTGCGCTGGTATGTAGTAATCACTAATTCCTTTTCCAATTTGTTTAATAGTCTGTTTGGATTTTACTTTCCCAAGCTTTGACAATCAGTTTACTTCTTTGCAGCTTACAGAATTGACTTTCTCTGCCATTTTTGAAAAGTAAGACATCTGCCTGCCTTTTGTCTTCTGGTATCTTTGTTCTCTGGATTCCTGAATATAACCCACAACACTTCTGTTAATCAGATGTATAATTTAGGCAGGGAAATAATTTTCCTAGGCCTAGTACTTGGACCACTCAGTACTATTTTGCTTTGGGCTTCTCTATTCAACTTCAAATAGCATAAGGTGAACAAGCATGGTGAAGAAGACACTGAAACTCAAGATTTCATGTTGGCTCACCCTTTTGGGCTGGATATTGGTAGAGAAGACCCATATCTGCTCCAAACATGATCCTACAACTTTAGTGTTTTTCTTGCTCTACGAATATCTAGCCAAGTCTGCTTTCTTGCCTGTAGCATTTTGGGGTAAATCTTAGGTCAACTCTGAGTTTTGTCCTCCTAGTGCTATTTCTCTGTACTTCTCTTTGTCCTGGGTTACATGCCCTTCTTGCACCCTTCTGATTCAGCTTTCTCAATTCCTATAGTTGATAACAGTTTGCAGAGTTTGGGGGTATCTTGAGGCTTTATAGTGAAATTGAAGCAGGAAAATTTCTAATTTGTCCCTCAGATTTACAAAATGTTTTGTTTTTTTTCCTTTCCTACTAGTCTTCAGCCTCAATCCCCACCACTCCCACCTGCCTGCTGCATAGGCCTGCAGACACCCACCTGCAAAGTGTGTGAGAACAATGACGTAGTTCTCCACTTCACCCACTGGTGCCTTCCACCGCAGCAGGGCTTCTGTTGGAGTGATGTTGGTGGCAGTCAGATCCGCAGGGTTGTCCATGGCTGAAACAGAATAGATGGATGCATGTCTGCTGCTGTACAAAATAATGGAGTGGCGACCTTTTTCCTTTCTCCCCTGTGATTCCATCAGCTCTTCCTCCTTTCCCTTTCCTCCTTCTTCTCAAGTACCCAGCTCTCCCTTGATTGCCCCCAGATCTTCCTTTTAATTCATTCATTAACTTCTTATGTTCAGAGCACTGTCAGGTACTGTGGGGGATTCCAAGTTATGACTGTTGTGTTTTAGACATTTAAACCTAGGTGGAGAACTAAGAACATATAGAAATTGTTATATTTCTTTAGTTAATGAGATAATATGCTTCCCAAGATATTTGGGAAATGTAAGGGGCATAAATATAGGGGCATGCCTGTGGAACCATCTGTGTTGAGGAACTTCAGGAGGTGTGGTGGGAGCTCCATGAAGGCAAAAGTATCCCCAGCACCTAGAACTTAGAAAGTACTCAATAAATATTTGTGCAATGACTGAATGGGACTCAGCTTGCCTCTAAAGTCATATCTGATTATTGCATTCTTGCTGTACTACTCACAAGGCTTACTCTGTACTGAGTCCTGGTATCCTTTTTGTGACATAGAGAGTCAAGGGGATTCTTCTAGGTTTAAGGCCAAGAGTGCTTGTTGGGGGAACAGGGTTTGCTTGTCATAAGACCATGTTTGTATTCTCACTTGCCCATGCTCTGCACCTTTGTTTTATCACTGTGCCTCCCTTCTATAAAGTTGGGATTTATTTTAGTAATGGATGCTATTGCAATAGTTTAGGTGTCAGCTCAACCTAAGCATCATGTGATTTACTTTTGGGGATCAAGATGCGCTGTTGATCTGGTCCTGTTCTCTAACTGAAGGTTTTTATTGCTTGCCTATGTCCATCATTTCAAAGCAACAACCATAAAATATTTTTACAATTTACACCTGAATTATATCCATAATCTGTGCCTTCAACAAATTCTTCAGATGCAACCTTATGAGAAGAAACAAAGAAGAAAAGTCTTATGAGACTACGATTAGCTCCATCTCTCTGAGATTAAGCATGAGACCCTGGAGAAGTACTCATTTCCAAAAGTTGTATGATCAAAGACCTCATGTTAAAACTACAACAACAAAATAAGACATTTTGGTGAGCAATCTGGTTATTTGGAGTTGACAAAATAGCTCTGCCTGAACTTGGAGGAGGGTGGTTTGGGCTGCGCACTACTGAATATCTGCTTTAGAGATGCTTGCTGCTTATGACCGAGGACCCAAGGAACGAGCTGTTGACCCGAGCTGCTGCTCTCTTTTACTTTGAGGTAGGAGGCTTTTCAAATCCATTCTATTCTCCTCAGTGAGAAAAACCCTAATTTCTTTATCATGAATTTCTAAGACTTTCAGGAAGGTGTGAGGGGGCTTCTTTGGACTCATTGGGCATAACTTCAGGTCAATTATTGTTGATACTTTAATGGTCACAGAAAATTTGATAGAAAGGTTAAGACTGAACCAAAAACATGGCTGAGTTATCTGTAGTCATAGGCCTGGAAGGAGACTAGGGAAGAGTTGAATATCTTGTGGTGTCTTTAGAAGAATTCTTTTCTTGAGTTTCTGAAGGAATGTTTTTTCGGCCATGGCCTTGAGATGTTGTTTATGGGCTTCTGAGAGCATTGACAAAAGCAGTGAGGAATTCCAAGTTACATTTTTCTCATTTGGGAAATACCATTCTCTGAGGAAAGCAAGCAACCTCAGGAAATCCAGGTGTTCTCCTAATAAGGCAAGTTGGGTGTTTTCCCATGTGCTATGGGAACTACAGCTTAACTGGGAGGTTAGGACTTGGAGTTGGGGACAGAAAACTTTAACCATCCCCTCTGGTGACTTCTACAGCAAATCTTTCCTAGTTCTGTATGGTGGGCTGGCTGAAGGGCCAGCAGTGGAGCTGCTGCAGAAGCCCTGCCCTCAGCCCCGTCCAAGGGGCTCATTTTCCAGAAGAAATCCACCACCTTCTTCCTCCCTGAAGCCTAAAGCAAGAGAAATGCAGCTGCTTGGTGGTTTCTGGCCATATAGGAGAGAGGTTTCCTGACCTTAAGGGTTGTTACTGGAATAACAAACATTTCCTTCTCTGAGGTGGAATTTCCTTCTCTGAGTTTTTTAAAAAATTAGATAGGATGATTCAGATGTCTGATGTGGCATTCACTTCCATCCTATGTCTTTGAAAGGTCACTTTTCATATTGGAAATTCCATGAAAATTCTTGACCTGAACCAATGAGACCCCTAGAGCGTGACTCTCTAAACTAGTATTAGAGAGAAATATCAGGGGGGAGAGAAGTTGCAGATTGCTTTGCATGACACAGTGAGTCAGAGGAGCACCCGGGAACAGATCTTCCAAGCCCAGAACTAGTGTCCTCTGAATCAGCCAGAACAATTTCACTCTTTGCCTCTTCTGTTTGTTGCAGGTCCTCAGCCAAAGTCCTGGCTTGGCCCATGACAGGGAGACATGCCTACCTGTGTGCACGAGAGTGCAGATGCGTTCACTCTCCTCCCGGCCCCGCACACTGTTGAGGCTGATTTCGTATTCGGTAGCAGGGTACAGCTTGGTGATGGTGAATTCTGTCACAGTGTTGGGCACCACTGAGCTGTCCAGCCGTCCCACTAAGGAAGAGCAGAAGCCACAGTTAAAGTTCAGCAGATCTCTCATCAACACAGCTTATGGTACAGTTTACATAGGAACTCTCAGTGGTACTTTGTCATGAAGCGTGGATGGTTGAAAGACTCAGCACTCAGTAGGGAGGGAGGAGAAATGGTGTGTGGACTTGGAAAGCTGGATCTTCAAGAGACCTTGCATGCTGGTCCCACCGCCTCATTTTACGGGCTCCTTGGAGCAAAGTAAAAAGAACTATTTATTAGATAGTTTTTTTTAACAAGCTGATCTTTCTTAAGGCGGTACAGACAGCATGGCTGCAAAGAGTGGTCCATGCAGCCCAGAGACATGGTAGCCTGGAAAACTATCCCACCCCCTCACTGGAAGTAAGCGTGCCTTCCACTTCATTAACAATGCCACACGCACCAGCAAGAACTGGCAGGATGCAGGGGAGGTCTGGGCCAACTTCTTCTGACTCTTAACTTGGCTGGAGTGGCAGAAATAGGACCACCGTCATTGTGGTTCCCTCCAAGGCTCCATCTGGCTCTGTTGGGTCTTTAGGCAAGCCCCAGGATTCTAGTCTTAGACTTTACTCCCTCAGGAAAGTGCAGATGACCCTGGCCCTTGGCAGGTTCTTTTGGGGCTCTTTGTTCTTCACTACATTGCCTAGATAACTGTGACCAGTTACCTCTGCTGGTGAAGGACCGTCTTTCTGGGTGAACGTAACCAAGTCTTTTGTGAGAGGATTTGGTGAGAGTAGGGTTTCTTGGCTGTTCCTCATCAACCCACTCTCATTCTGATGGAGCGTGCCACAGAGAGGAGGAAAAATGCAGGCAGCGGGGGTGATATCCTCTGGGAAATGTTAGTTCTCCCATAACAATCTTCACCCAGCTCCAAATCCTATTCATCTTTGAGGAATCAGATAACTTTTTATTACCTTGTGTTGGCCGATATGATACTCGGTAGTAATCAAAAGATGCAACAGGAGGGCTCCAGGAGACCATAACCGAGTCCTTGGTCACATTGCTGATTGTAATGTCTTTGGGGGGATCAATTCCTACAAGGATCCAAGTGGTTGTGGGAAAGAGACAGAAAGCACAGTGTGAAAAATGAATTCCTACCCTTGGTTTTATGTGGACCAAGAGCTAATGGTGTCCTAGAGGCCTACAAGAACTTACTGTGCACCAGAGCATCCTTAAAACCGTGGTCGGGCTGAAGTCTTACTTGAAACCTCATAGTTATGGCCAAAGCCAAGTTTGTGGAGAATATTTTAAAAACATGAAGTCAAGTTGGCAAGGTCTGTGCCTGCGTAGCAACTATTACTATCTGAAAGCCAACTGAGAACTTTCTTTTAAGTTTGTATGTTTTGCTTTGAACTGGGGGTAACATGGTCATTTTCTCTGGGGCAACTTCTCTTGGACAAACCCAACTCTTTTGGTTCAATTTGGAAAAACTACATATTGACTGTAGAGGGATTTCAGAGCACAAGTCCAGAACAAATCCACTTTCCTAAATTGTATTTCATTTACACTGTATACTTTATTTTTTTAACTGCTGGAGGATTGCAGCGTCAAAACCATCTGAGTGTTTAATCCACTTGTCCAGTTTGTGAGTTCTTGTCAGTATGTAGGAAACTACTCAAATACACATGTCCTCACCCACATACACACTCATATTGGGATTTATTTGGGAATGATGAGAGGAGAATGATCCAGTTCATCTCAGAATGCTTATGTTTTCCAAACAACATGTAAATCAGCTCCATTCTCTAAGTACCAGGTCCCTACATGGTTGCATGCTAGTTCCATATGATTCTGAGGAAGCATCATTTGTAACAGTGACCTTACTGGGCAGTGAAGAGATGGCCCTCCAGAAAAGGAACAGATGTATTTTCTCTGTAGAAGTGTTTCCTCTGGGAGACTAACTCCAGGGCTTTCTCCTATACTGGTAGTGGGAGGACTTCTGTACCAATATATTCAAGCCTTGGCCTCCTCAAGACATTGAGTCTGTTCTGCCTTCTAAATGGAAGTTTCCCATCTTTTACATTTTGTGTAGCCCTGGAAGAGGTGGCTGTTTCAAAACAGCTCACAGACTCTCTCTAGCCAAATAAGCAGACCCTTATTCTTTGGGTGTTTCTATTTGTAAATTTCATTGACTTGTCAAAGGCTACTGTGGGAACCCCCTTCACCACCTGCTGTCAAGTCCTCCAGCCTCACCTGTGGTGATGGAGCCCACGATGGGCTCAGAGGTCACTGTACCATGGACTGCCACCAGGTTCACAATGTACTCAGTGGCCGGCTGCAGGCCCATCAGGACTGCATGCCTCTTGGTGGCATCCAGGGAGACCTCCATCATCTCTTCCTCTTCATCTCGGGGGCTGTAGTTGAGAATGAGTCTGTTTGCTGGTGGGGATGGGTCACTCCAGGTGATGTTGACACTGGAGGAGGTCACATGAGAAAAGTGCAAATGGGAGATGGGGCGGAAGCCTGCAAAATGGAGAAGATGGATGGTTCTGAAACACACGTGAGGTGGTAGGGCCACTGGGCTAGAAGAGCCATCTGACTGAAGGGATCTGCTTTTTTTGCTAATAAGGACTATACCTTTACCTGCTGACCCAAAGCTTCTATCTCCTCACTCTCCAGTCCTGTCCACTCTCCTTTCTCCAAGCCACATTCTGAAAAATGAATGCCCTCAGCAGGATAAAACCAGCATTACATCTGCGGGTTATTCATAATACTGATCCAGGATTTAAAACCTCTATCCTGGAAGGAATTTAACATGATCCCATGGATCCTCTGAATGCCCACTGATTTAGTGCAGGCAGGAGAAGACGGACAGAATCAACCACTATGTCCAGGCTGTAGGAAACCGGACATAAATTTTCAGGCACCTAGGCAGCATTGCTCATTTCTCCCCTTTACTTCCAACCATTCTCTCTTGATGCATTTATTACATCTATCTCTTCCTTCTCTAAAGGAAATAGGGCATTAAAAGAGTGGGTTACCTTTCCAGTGACCTTCATCTGACCTTCCCACACTAAGATCCGTTGATCCCTGAACCCGGCTGGGATTTCTGCAGCACTGGTACCTGTGAAGGCATCCACGGTGGACTCCAAGCTCTGCTGCCGACCCCTCTCAGCAGTGATTGAAATGATGTACTCTGCCCCAGGCTCTAGATCTGTCAGTGTGTACGAGGTCCTGTCCTTGGGCACAGTGACTTCTGAGGCGATCCCGGAGGATGGGGTAAAGGTAATTCGGTAGTGGTCAATGGGGCCACTGGCCTTGGTCCAGATGAGGGAGATGGAGGTCTCTGAGGAGGCTGTCACCATGAGGTCTCTGGGACTGTCAAGTTCTGTGGATAAACATAAGTGGCCTACTTTACACAAGTTCCACAAGAGGGCCAGTATTAATAGGAATTGGACCTCCCTGTGGATTTCTAAGCTATCAGCAGGCCTGCTGAGCATGAGGATTAGCTTGTCATTGCTGACACTCATCTCACATTTTGTTAAGCACCTTCCCTTTGAGAGATGGCCAGGGGCTTGGCATATAGATGGACAATCTGCAGAAAGGCATTAGTAGCCCCAAGACCACTGGAACACATCCACCTCTGGGGCAAAGCTGGCTGCTGACTTTTAAGCTCTCCATACTCATTTTCTCCCAGCCTCACTCAGCAAGCCAAGCAGGGCAAAACAGGAGCCTCCATCAAGTAGGGATATGCCATTCCTGGCAACACTAGTGACCCTTGTTCCTGAGGCCATTTTAACTGACGTGGCCATGGCTGTCAGGCAACGAGATCTGAGGACTCCTGGGGACCTATGTCCATGTGGTTCTCCAGAGAGGTTGTCTATCCTAGACTGAGCCTTGGGACAGTGATTGGCTCAAAATCCCCAGCTGAGCCCAGGCTGCTTTTACCTAAGGTACTAAAGTGACTTTGAAATTTACCCCGGATTTGGAAGCAAAACTGCTGGATTCAGAGTAGCAAGGGTCTCAAGTGGACTTTTCCATTGCCCTTAGATTTAATGGGTTGCCTCCAAGTCTAGGCCTTTACTGCTGTGGCCTTTCTGGGGGCTTCTTTCATGCACGGTGAGGGACACCACATACTTCCTACTGTGCGGTGATCTAAAAGAAATATGACCTGCTATGCCACCAACCTATCTGGGATTGTCCACCTCTGCTCTGCACAGCTGTGGGCAGCCCTTCAGACCATGGACACCACACGTACATATGTGGGGAAGAGGGTGGAACTCCATCCTGCATGTCCGGTATTGGAGGTTAGGCACAAGGTAATCAAAGAGCTGCAGGTAGATGTTGTTCCTAGGCTGATAACTGTCATCTGGGACCTGTTCACCAGGGGGCATTGCCTTCTGACCAGTCCTTGCAGGACAAGCCTCCATGACTCCTTGGGCTTACAGAGTATCCCGGTCTTCTTCTGCACCAATTTGCCTACTCACCAGTCCTGGCATTCATGGTGGCTGGTACGCTTTGCTGTGAGTTCAGGATGGCGGATATTCCAACTCCATACTCAGTGCCAGGTACCAGATCTGTCGGTAGATGCAGAAACAAACGTTATTCCATGTGTGTGTCAGGGGTGGGGAAAGCTGATAGGAGGGAAGCAAATGACCCTAGATTCCTGTTCAGATCTTGTATTTAGTCCTTCCTGAATCCCCTGCTAATTTTACCTATTAGGAAATCCCAGTTTCACCACTTCGGAAATCCATACCAAGTCAATAGGATGAACTGGTCAGAGCAGAGCTTCCTTCTTGCTGCTGGTCTCCTCAGGAAGGCAGTGAGGCTGCCCTTGTCAGTGACCTTCAGAAGTGTGCTCTCCTGTGGAAGGTCTCCCTCCGGTACTTAGAGTCTCAGGTTGGCTACAACTGGTGAAGCGATTTCTTGCTTAAGCTGTGAATTGGGGGAGTGTATAATCGAGAGGGACTGTGTGGACGTGGGCCTTTAAAGCATTTCTTGAACATTGTGTATGAGGACCAAGCTGCACCTTTTATAGATATGGCCCCATAGGCTGAGGCCATATGGGGACTCCTGGGTCCCTTCTAGGGAGCAAGGTGGATAGATGTTTTTCTCTGAGCACAGGGCTGTCAGGCCTTTAGTGTGGGCGCATGCAGGAGCCCTGTTGCTGGGGGCTCCCACCAAGGTCAGTAATGCAGTCCCCACAGTAATTAAAGCTATAGATTCAATTTTAGGATGACTTCTGGGGGACTCTGGGAAGATGCAGAAAATGCAAAAACGGTCCAACTAAAGGGTGCAAGCCTCTCTGGGGAAATCCTTTGGGAGTTCAATACAAAGGATCACAGGGAGCCTCTTAGAATTTCTGGAATTATCTGGGGTGTCTCCCTACCCTCTCCCACGTTCATTTTCAGACTAACTGGTTTGACTGGTGTATTAATTTCCTATTGTTGCCGTAACAAATTACCATGACATAGTGGCTCTAAACAACACAAATCTATTATTTTACAGTCCAGGAGGTCTGAAGTCTAAAATAGATCAGCAGGGCTGCATTCATTCTGGAGGCTCTAGCGGAGAATACGTTTCTTTTTCTTTCCCAGCTTCTAGAAGCTGCCTGCCTCCCTTGGCTTGTGGACCCTTAATTGATCTTCAAAGCCAGCAGCACAGCATTTTCAAATTTGTTTTTCTGTCTGACCTCTGCTTCCATTGTCCCATCTTTGACTCTGACTCTGATCTCCCTGCCTCCCTCTTATAAGAACCTTGTGATTACATTGGCCCCACCTGGGTAGTACAGGCAATATCCCCATCTCAAAGTCCTCGACTTAATCACATCCACAATTTCCTTTTTGCCATGACAGATGACGTAGTCACACGTTCTGGGGATTAGAATATGGACATCTTTGGGGGCCATTATTCTTAGCATCAAACTAGCATCAAAGGCACTCTCATTTATTGGGAGTAAGATTGTAGAAAAATGCATCAAGATCAAATCATCACCCATAGGGCCCCATAGTCAGTCTGAGTCCTTTTGGTAGGTTCTCCGGGGGCTCTGTGTGGCCCCGTCAGAGCCATGGCTGATGATCATGCTGTTCTGCATTAATCTACCGTTTGTTCTTTTCAAAGTACCTGAAGTGTTTTGACCCTCACCTTGTGAGGAAGGTGGGATGGGGACTCTTTTCTCCATCTGTATTAGTTTCCTGTGGCTGTTGTGACAAATGACCACAGAGTGGCATAAACAGTGGTAATTGATTCTCTCACAGTTCTGGGGTCTAGAGACCAAATCAAGTTGTCATCAGGGCCGTGCTCCGTCCAAAGGCTCTAAGGGGAGACTCTTTGCCTCTTCCTGGCTTCTGGGGGATGCCAGCTCTCCTTGGCGCTCCTTGACTTGCAGCTGCATCACTCCAGTCTCTGCCACTGTTGTCCCACGGGGTCTCAGTCAGCTTGGGCTGGTATAACAAACTACCACAGACTGGGTGGCTTGAAGAACAAACATTCATTTCTCACAGTTCTGGAGGCTGAGAAGTCCAGGATCAAGGCCCCAGCAGATCTGATGTCTGCTGAGACCCCCTTCCTGGTTCCTAGATGGCTGTCTTCCTGCTGTGTCCTCACATGGTGGAAAAAGTGAGAGAACTCTCTGGGGTCTCTTTTATAAGGGCACTAATCCATTCAGGAGTGCTCCAACCTCATGACCTAATCGTCTCCCAAAGGCCCCATCTCCTAATACCATTACATTGGGAATGAGGATTTCAACATATGAGTTTTGGGAGGACACAAACATTCAGTTCATAACACATGGTATTCTCCCTGTGTGTCTGTCTTCTCTTCTTATAAAGACATTGGTCACACTGAATTAAGGGCCTACCCTAATCCGTTATGACCTCATCTTGATTTCATCTGTAAAGACCCTATTTCCAAATAAGGTCACATTCACAGGTTCCAGGTGGACATGATTTTGGTGGAGGAGAGGAGGCCATGGGCACTATTCAAACCAGTACACCATCTTTTTGTTAAAAGAAACTAAGGCAAAGAGTAAGTCTGTGACCAGCTGGAGACGACACTCAGGCTTCTGGCCTCGGGTTCAGGGCTTTTAAGAGGACTGGAATGTCCTACCCGTCCTCTCATTTCATCCCCTCCCCAGAGCAGCTGTGAATCCTCTAGGATCCCTGAGGTAAGAGGAATGATTTTGACAGGAAATGCGTTGAGCAACTTTTCCTTAACAAATGGCTTGGTTTAATGAAGGGGAATGCTACATGGTAGCCAGAGGGTGCTGCACCCCTTCCGCAGTATGGCTTCACTGCAGCCTCTGCAATAAAGCCCCCCATGCCAGAGTATGGCAGAACCTACCAGGCCTTACTGACCAGGCTCCCTGGAAGGAATGCGTTAGAATCGGCTCTCTTTTTCCTTTCCCCAACCAGCTCCATGCAGTTCCTAACCCTTAGTTCTTTCTTTCTCTAAAGTGCCACACAAATAGAGGTGAACCTTGAAGTCTGACAGACTTTGGGGTCACCATACTTACGTTAATATTCAGGTTTTGCCACTTTCTACCTGTGAAACTTGGATTATTTAACATCCTTGAGCTTCAGTTTCTGGAGAATGGGAAGAATGACAGTATCTATCTCAGAGGGTCATTGTGAGGATTAAATGAACCAACGTGTATAAAGTACAGTGCCTGGCCCGTCATGATAGTAGCCAATATTAGTATTACCTTGCACAGAGAACTATGCCGGGATTTTGAGTCCTTTTTTTGTGTGCCCCAGGCAGGTACAGTTTGGTCCTCGGCACACGTGTTCTCGGTTTGCTGAGGCTTAGCCTGTCAGCTCTGATGAAACCAGTGATTCAGGGAGTCCATGTGTCAGCGAGGAGCATCCCCTGGCTGGGCTGAGTACCTGTCGCTAGATTGAGTGGGTGATTGCGACGCCCCCAGATCCATTCAAAGCACACATTTATTTCCGTCAGGATGTGCGGCGAGTCCCAGGTACATCCTTGGTTGGAGAAATTAGATTACCTTTGGGACATAAACTACTTTTCACAGGCAACTGATTGAGACCTTCAATTGCCTATAATGAAGCAGAAATTCTCCGACATAGATGAAAGATGACAGATAGAGGGAGTAAGACAGAAATTATATGTTGCCAAACGGATCTAACATGTAACGTTTTCATCCGAGTTTCTTATTTATGAAGCTTAAATGAAATGTTCAATAATTTGCAATGGAATCATCTTCTCCCAGAAAACCACAGAGCGGAATTTAAAGTACTCACTTCCCTGGCTTTCTGTCTAGAGGATGGGGAAGTGGGACTTGCTTATAGGTTCCTGCCTACTGCTTGCTTTTGATTTTCAGCAGCTTTCTTCCTGTGCTACAAGTGAAATGTTGCTCTTCGCCAGCAGGTAAAATACAGTCTGCTGGAAAAGAAAATGTGTATCCGAGGCATAGCCAGTACACTTATATATCAGCACTCCGAGGACTCCTAGGGATTTCTCACTTTTTAAAGATCCCATTGCTCTCTATTAATGCTCTCTCTGTATTTCCATCCAACTCCTGCAAGTGGTAGCATATAAATGGCTTGGTTCTGTTTCTTAACAATAGCTCAGAAAATTCGTCCCTTAGGAAACCACCACTTTCCATCCCTTAAAGAACTTCCTTTGTTCGACTTGGAGGTTGATGCTGTTCTCAACTCTTTCACTGCACACTTATTCTTCTCTGAACTCCCAAAGCACATGGTTCATTCACTCAACACATATTATCGAGGGCCTCCTTTGCGCCAGGCACAAGGCTGTGTACTGGGGATATCAGGGTGAACTGAATCGATGTCACCCCTGCCCTTAATGAGATAAGAAGCAATCTGTACCGAAAGAGGAAATTAATTATTTATGGAGCACCCATAATAGGCCAAGCACTGAGCTACATACAATAGATAATCTAGAAGAAGAATGAAGAAGAAAGGGAGGGAAGAAAGGAGGGATAAAAATTGAAGGAGAATTTTTGAGTGGCTGATGGTCCAGAGTAATACTATTAGCTATAGCTTCTTAGAGATTCATACATGTTATCTCATTTAATTCCCCTGTAGCTCTGCCAGGAGGACAGCACTGATGAGCAAACAGAGGCTCAGAGAAGTCCATTCCTTGACCAAAGTCACAAAGCTAATATATGATAAAATTGGGTTTGGAACCCAAGTCCTTTGTTCTTTCTGACAGATCAGAGCACGGTCTCTGTCCCCTAACAGTCTTACAGGCTAGTAGAGGGGAGTGGAGTAAGCATATTGGAATTTGGGCCTGCACCGGGGGCAGATAACTAAGAAGACCATTTCAGAGGGGCGATGAGATCAGCATGGGCTGGAGTAGCCAGAGAAGGCTTTCTAGAGAAGGGACTTGAGTTGAACCTTGAATGCCTGCCAAGATTAGGAAAGGTAGAGGGAAGGAGAGATGGAATTCTCTGGTGGTCAGGATGGGGCATGGTGAGCAGGAAGAGATTAATTAGGCCTGCAGAGTAAGAGGAACTAGTAAACTTTCACCTGCACTTAAGTACCGTGGGTGATAAAGGCAGAATGACTCACTTGCCCCTGTTTAAGAGACCTATTCT